TGGCTGGAGCAGTACTACGTGGGCGAGCTGCGAGGGGACCCGCAGGTACAGCCGGGCCGGGCACACCCCGCTCGCTCTCGCACACCCCTCCCCCAGCTTGCACTCCCGGCCGAGCCCCGTTCACCTGGCCTTCTAAGAGGACCCCAGCCCCGGCCCTTCCCTCCCTCCCCTCTCCTCTCTTGTCTCCAGGGAAAAGGTCGCTGCCCTTTCCTCTCACTCCTTCCAGCTTCACTCGTGACACGCCTCATCCGCCGTTCCCCCACTTGCCGAGTCACCCCCTTGCCTCCGACCGCTTGGATCCTCATCTGTGGTCCCAGCTCCCTTCAGGAAGGAAAGACTCTTCCTTCCTCTTCCCTTATTGGCCAGTCCCTCTTTGAAACCGCTCTCCGTTTCTGTTTGGATGGTAGGTTCCAAGGCTCACCTGTCCTGCCCTCCCATCCCACCTCACTTCTGCTTCCCAGAGCCCCAGACCTCTGCTTCTCTCAGGATGGAGAGAAGCATATTTATCCTGGTGGCTCCAAGGCTTGCGGGGCCTCTGAGTTGGAGAAGGTCTGGGCAGTGTCCCAGGCAGACTGTCCTCCAGCTCCTCAGACCTGCCTTTATTTTCTGTCCCACACCCTGACTCCCGACCCAGAAGAGTGAAATGAAAGGCAGAAGCCGGGTTTGCAGAGGAAAAGGATTAGCACTTTGATCCCAGATTGAGAACCAAGCTGAACACAGCCGGGTGGTGCCGGCAGTTATGCCTGAGCCTGGGGCGGATTTTGTCATCTCCATTAAGAGCGTGGAAACGGGCTTAGAGAGGCTCTCCATGTGTCCAGGCCGGACAGCGAGTTAGTGAGAATGCCAAGTGTCGGCCACTCCAAACTCAGTGATATCTCCTGGCGAGGGTCCTGGGGCAGGGAGACAGGCCCCGTGCGTGCGCAGGACTCCAGGCAGGCTCAGGCCAGAGGCAAACAGACTCCTTGGGCATTTGCCAGGCTTGACCGTAGCAATGTGACAGTGGGGCCACCATGCTCCAGTATAAACCAACAGTTGTCCCTGCTCTAGTTTTTGTGTTCAAGATGAATCCAGCAAGTGCTTTGAGATCTTTGGGTGAAATGACTGTGCCGTCGCTGTTCCAGGTGGCCCCTCACTGGGCTGGCTCTCCTAACTCTTCAGTCACTCAGAAGGGGTGCTTGGATGGGAGTGTCCTGGGCCACTCTGTGACTCTTTGGCACGGGGAAGCACCAATGAATGAGATCAATAGGGCTCCTATGTTCATTGGCCTAAGGTAGTGGGGAGGGGAGGAGGGGAGGGGACACTCTAATCACATGATAAGTACCTGATTACATGGTGTTCCCGTGGGTCTGGAGCGGAAGGGCGAGGAGCACTTTCTGAAGGGAATGACAGTTATGTGAGAGCTCACACGGGGATATGGCTGAGCCAGGTCGTTGGCCAGCACGTTCCAGACAGAGGAAGAGCATGTGCGAAGGTGCTGAAGAGGAAGGACTTAACATGGTCAGGGGGCAGGAACCGAACCGATGTGACCAGAGGCTGGTGGACCAGGATGGGGATGTGGGAGGAGGACAGATCACACAGGTTGTACTCGGGACTTGAGACTTTGATTCGAAGAACAGCTTGAAGCTAGGGAAGGCTTCAAGCAGGGGTGTGGCAAGGCCAGTTTTGCATATTTGGAAGAGCACCCTGGCTGCGTTCCAAGAAGGAGTGCAGAGAGTCCGTGTGGGTGTGAGGCTGTCGTGTAGCTTGCACTGGCTAATGGGGAGGAGAAGGGAGATTGTTCATATCTGTGGCTGAGGGGACAGAGGGGAATAATGGGGGAGATTTCTTAGAGAAGATGCCAGGACTTGGTCTTCTGCGTGGGAGCCCAGCCGAATCTCAACCAACCATGGCTGGTTGTGCTAGCGGGACAGAAAGTTTAGCAGCAGAGACAAGAAAAACCTGAGTATAGGAAAGGAGGGAGGTTGGGAGTAGATGCTAGAGACCGCCAGGCTCGTGAAGGCCCCGGGGGCTTGCCCTATGTTGTAACCATGTCCTAGAAATAGGGGCCTTAGGGTGTAGCTTCTCCCAGCACCACTCTGAGTGTCACTTCTGGCCAGCTGCCCCCAGCGGTCCCACCTCTGGTCTGATTTGGTTTTACTTTTCTTTGCCTTGCCTCACCTGACTCCAGGGAACTCAGGGAGGGTGCCGAGTCCACCTTGGCTTCCTACCTGCTACTTCCACAGCCCTGTGTGGCCACGTTGCAGGTGTTCTTATTAATGTGCCCCAGCCTGAGGATGTGAAAACAGTGAAAGCTAACAAGTCTCTACAAACCCTCAGCCCAGACTTAACCAATGGCCAGACTGGCTCAGCCCTCCAGGTGCCTCTTGGCTTCTGGCTACAGATTTTTCACTATAAACGGGTACAGGCTTTTTCTTTTCTTTTCTTTCTTTTTTTTTTTTTTCTTGATTTATTTTTTCTTTTCTGAGAGGTTTTTTGTTATAGGGCACGTGCTATAATTATCTGTGCTCTCCAGAAAGACAGAGACAGAGAGATAGAAAGCAAGAAATCACCCCGCAGGGGGATGGCCATGCCGCAATCCCTTCTCCTCCGTTCTCCTCTTGGGATCTTGAGTACGTACGCACACGCGCCCAGCGTGAGTTTAAGTTACTGGGTCTGGGACTCAAACTGCAGTCGACTACATGGGAGTCCAGCGACATAGCCCTTACGCCAATTGCTGGTCCCGTACAGCCTTTTTTCTAAGTTGGGAAAGAGAGGAGTCAGAGGAGAAGTCTTGGGTGGGATATCCTTTCAGAGAGAAGCCTGGATCAAGACAACATTTTCGTTCTCTTCAGCCAGGCCCTTAGAGCAGCTCCTTCTCTCCCTCTCCTCCTGCTGACCAAGGATGCCCGTCCCCAAGGAGGTCAGGACTAGCTCCTGCAGGGTGAGGCGTGAGGTGGGGCACAGGGGAAGGGGAGTGCATGGACCAGCTCCAGTTGTCAGGCCTCGTTTCTGAATGGAGCCCCTCCCGGGGACATCTTCCCTGGCTTAGTCCATGAATGGGAGCCTCCTGGGTCTTCTTCCAGGGAGAAGGCCCACCCCATTTGTTTCCCTGTCCCCCATGTTGCCACACCCGCTTTGTGTACACACTTACACACATTCACACTTGCAGGAAGGCACGAAACAAGTCAAACTTGTTCAACCCAGCATACCATGGGGGGCTGTGACCAGGGCTGCCGTGGCCGTGGCTTTGGACGTGGGGAAGCTGAACTGCCCACCCTGAGCCAGTGCTAGGAGCCACAGCTGAGCAGGAGGGGCAGGCCTTCTTCTTGTCCCTGGTGCTCAGGGACCAGCGGGGTTGGCTCCTCATTCCAAGCCCAGGTAAGAGCAGTGATCTTCATGGTGACACAATAGTGGGACGTGAAGTCCTTTTATTGAGCTGAGAAGCATTTTCCAAAAATAAAATAGACAAGGAAAAGATTTTGGGTCTAAACCTGCTTCCAAAGCCATCTGTGTTTTCCCACCTGAGTTACCCCTGCTGACTGCCTCCCCAGGTTGGGCTGGGCTCAGATGTGCTGAGGTGGGGGGGGGCGTCCCACCCAAGTCAGTATCCCACTGTACTTTTCTATTTCATTCTTACCTTTACATCGACTCTCCTTTTCTCTCTCTCTCTCTCTCTTTTTTTTTTTTTTTTTTTTAGTTTTTGTACCATAGGACTTGTGTGCTCACCAGAGAGAGACAGAGAGAGGGGAAAGTGTGTGCTCACCCCAGGGGGGATGGCCGCGCCACAGTCCCTTGTCTTTCATCCTCCTCTTGGGATTTTGAGCACACACATGAGCCTGGCATGATTTTCAAGCTCCTAGGTTCAAGATTCAAGCTGTGGTTGGCTGTCTGGTTGGCACCTTAACCACTACTCCAACTGCTGGTGCTCACTTTTCGTTTTACTGTTCACTCACCCTAAGGCAGTCATCGCAGTGGAAATCACACAGTGAGCTTACATGCACTTTAAAAATAAATGTAGAACGATTAAAATAAAAAAATGCTATTCCTTGGGCCAACCAGTGGCATGGCGGTGAAGGTAGCTGGACCCCATATGACCAACACCACCCCTCACCACCTCCCCGTTCAAGTTCCATAGCTGGCAGCTTAAGAAACATGCAGGGTGTATCTGCGTGCATGCCCAAAATCCCGAGAGGAGAGTGGAGGAGAGGGTCCTGAGGAATAGCCATTCCCCCTGGAGAGGTGGGGTGCTTTTTCACTTTCTCTTTCTCTCTGTCTCTCCCTAGAAAGTGCACATGCCCTACAGAAAATTTAAAAAAACAAAACAAAATAACTGTCCCCTAAGATCATCTTGGGAACTTGTAGTGAAGTGTGTATCACACTTTCGGAACTATGCCAAGCAGGGCTTCTTAATCCGGAGTTCTGCGGGTCATTGTCTGGGACTGGTGAAAGATGAAATTGTGTGTGAAAAACGTGTGACCGTGCATTTTTCAGGTCAGAGAGTTAGAGCTTTCATCACAGTCCAACTGCACTACTTCTTCGGCCCCAAACCTGCCCCCGAGGGAATAATGACTCTCAGAGAACGGTCTGCACGCCCTGTGCTTGGCGTGGATGGGCCTCGAGAGGTTTTCCCGTGAGCACACAGCTGCCTGTGCCCGCAGGGTAAAGCCCTGTGTTGGAGAAGACTCTGGAGGGAGGCAAGCTTGACTTCCCAGCCACTGGTACTGGGGAGAGCCAGACCTCTGAACGCCTGTGGGTGTGTCCCTGTCTCTGAGCAACTGGCAAGACTCCAGGTTCTGCCACGCACGAGTTCTGCCAGGCTTTGGGGTCTGGCCACTTAGTGCTTCAGAGCTTGCACAGTTAAGTGAGGATAGACAAGAGGGAGAGAATCCTAGCGTAGGAAGTTTGGGGGCTCCCACCCCAGCCAGCACATTTGAGCACAGCCCAACTCAGCGAGCCAGTCCGAGCAGAGCACTCGGATCAAAGCCGAAGCTTGGGGAACTTCTGAACTGCCCCTGCCTGCAGAGCCGAGTGGACTATTAGTCAGCTAACTGAAGGGGGTTGAGATC